TCTCTCTCTCTCTCTCCAAACTCACTTGCTCATAAAGCTGTTCTTCTTAGACCGTCTCCTCCGCCACCACAAGATGACAAACATTATGATAAGAAACAGAATGACCCCGACGACGATTCCACCGTAGATTAAGGGGTCCCGTTGCCAAGTTAGTCTCGACTCTGCGCAGTGACTATCTGCATAATCGATCTTAACGAAAACATGGTCCTCTGTCTTGCACCTAGAAAAGAGAAGAAAAGAAAAAAGCATTATTTTACAGCTCATTTGATGATAAATGAAGTTCAATTGTGCCGTCCTAAAAGGCCAGATCTTGGTTAAAAAAAGTAATCGTTTCTACAGAGAGTTAACAGGTTTAATGCACGTCAACACAGTGCACCCTTCACCAGTGGATGTTGAGTGACTTGTCGAAAACGAGAAGTTATAAAGAGACTTACAACTTCTTGTCGAAAATAAGCACCTCATCGCGGCTGGTGGGGAGGAGGTGGTTGCAAGCCCCGTATGAGTTTGGAGAGAGAGAGATAATGTGTGTGTGTGTGTGTGTGTGTGTGTGTGTGTGTGTGTGAGAGAGAGAGAGAGAGAGAGATAGAGAGAGAGAGTAAATATGGGAAGAGAGAGAGAGAGAGAGTAAATATGGGAAGAGAGAGAGAGAGACGGAGAGAGAGATATGCTTTTACAGGTGCCTGGTCAGACTCCATTAGTACGCAAAAATATCTCCGTACACTCACGAGAGGCAAATCCATACAACTACGCAAGTCAGTACGCTTAATGATACGTTACACTACGTCACAGCGCTATGAACTCACGTGCACGTGGCTTCGTTACTTGAAGAGGACACCTGGCATTCGCCCCGGTCATTACAATCCCAGTTTTCACACTTGCGGACGCAGGTGATCGTTGGGTCCTGCTCGTTGTTTTCGCATCTGTATTCATGTGGATTTTTGGGTATTAGCTTTTCGCAAGAGTCTGCGCCATACAGAGAACAAAGGTTCCTAAAACTGCCCACTGAAAAAAAGGCAATTATTGGCTGCGGTCAATATGTTATTTTGCATATTTAAAAAAAATATTTGTTTTGGTTTTCTCGTTTATTTATTGAAAAGGGTGACTAACACTAAGTATTACAAGTATTATTAAAATTGAAGTTCAAAAAGCCTATAATGCAAGGCGAGACTTACCAAAAATGTTATTATCGCAACAGCTGTTTTAACCAAACCAATATATTCTAATATCTTATAAAGCAGCTAAAGTAAACACCTTTCCCTTATATTAAGGTGTGTCCATTAATCAATAGTCTTCACATACCTTGACGGTCAAAGTTGGCTCGGGCCCATGTTAGGTCAGCTGTAAGCTCCTTCCCATTTGTAGTCAATCTAAAAGTTTGATTTTTGAGAAGAACGTCCTTGATTTGCTGTAACGCATTTGTTATGTTCTCTTTATCGCCCAGGAGGAATTCCAGAGGAAATATAATCGAGTAGGTGACATTTATCTCTCCAGGTACGTCCGTATCTCTAGAAAAAAAAGAGCGGTGCGTTTTTCATATTATCAGTATAGGGGTAGGGACGAACTGTGTGTTCACAATAAGAGAAAAAAACGCATCAACCCTAAGCGCACGAAGCAGGGGGCAGATAAGGGATTTTTTCACTTCTTTAAGGCAAATTTACATATAAATCAGCCATTAGCGTATTACGAAGAGGGAAGATAAAAGAGGAGGGGGGGTGTTAAAGTCCAGGAAGTTTTATGCCGTCCTCCAGTTTTTCCTAGTTAGTCCCTCACTAAATAATAATATAATAATAAATGTATTAATCACATAAGTTACATGCTACGTGCATTCTATGGCTGTGTTCAGAATAGAAGTTATCGGTCCAGCAGGATCGATCCATCTCAGCGCAAAGTCGCAACCAATTTAATCAGCCTCATTATCTGGCACGCCCCCCCCCCTCTCGCAAAGCAACATGAACAACATCATGGACCATAAAGTCTTCCCCACTTTACCCAAGTACTTTAAGAGTGCATTCCCAGAGATTTAGACCCCTTTCCCAGAGATAAATCGATCCAGCTAGATCGACCTAACTCCCTGGTGGTTCACGCTAAATAGCTGTCAGCCGAGAGGGCACGAAAGTTAATTACCCCCTTACAGCTTGTAGTAGGCGGGACGGACATTTAAGCCGGATTATCTGACAGTAATCTAGTGAGACTCCCCACGGGGATAGATCGATCTCAAATCTGTGGGAATGCGCCCTTAGGTCGATTCCACTAGATCGACCTAACTCCCTGGGGGTTCACGCTAAATTGATGTCAGCCGAGCGCGCACGGTAGTTAATTACCCCTTACAGCTTTAAGTAGGCGAGACAGACCCTTAAAGGGATAAAAACTCTTCGTATGAGATCTATATTTCACAATAAAAAAATTGTGAATAACTCACAGAAATATGAGAACGGCAGTTATAGCTATTACTCTGATATCTGAACTTGTCAGTGACCACGTGACCTCCATTGATGGCTATACCCTGTTAAAACCAAACTTTTTAGAAAAAAAAAACAGGGACTAACTTTGAATGTAAAAATGGATTCATTAACCATTGATAAGTATGAGAAAATTGTTGTTTACTCCAGGAAAATTAATTTTTTGGCCGAAATTAAGAGTTATTATCCCTTGAAGCCGACTAAGCTGACAGTAATTTAGTGAGACTCCCCAAAGGGATAGACCGATCTAAATCTGTGGGAATGGGGTCTAAGTTACGAGGGGGCGTGCAGGACAATTAAGCTGATTACATTGACTGCATCTTATACAGAATCCCCGCTGAGATATATCGATCCTGCTGGTACGACAGGCCCGTAGCCAGCAATTTTAGAGGGGGGGGGGTCGTTTCCTGAAAAAGTGGACCTTTTACCATAAAATCCTCAAGTACATAGATCCAATTGACCCAGAGTGGACCTTTTCCCAGCAAAAAGGGTGGTTCTTTCGACCCCCCCCCCCCGAACCCGCCCTGGCTACGGGCCTGAACGATAACTTCTATTCTGAACACAGCCAATGTGACGAGCATTAAATGAATGGCACCTAACTAGAATAATATAAACTTGTACGTACATTGAGTTGATTTTTACGTCTTCATGTCCAATTACGCCTTCAAATTTTTCTCTAAGCTGAAAATCAGTAGACAAGTNTTTTCTGAAAAAGTGGACCTTTTACCATAAAATCCTCAAGTACATAGATCAAATTGTACCCAGAGTGGACCTTTTCCCAGCAAAAAGGGTGGTTCTTTCGACCCCCCCCCCCCGAACCCGCCCTGGCTACGGGCCTGAACGATAACTTCTATTCTGAACACAGCCAATGTGACGAGCATTAAATGAATGGCACCTAACTAGAATAATATAAACTTGTACGTACATTGAGTTGATTTTTACGTCTTCATGTCCAATTACGCCTTCAAATTTTTCTCTAAGCTGAAAATCAGTAGACAAGTGTGCATGTATTAATGCCATTTATTTTTGTTGATCTTATGTACAATTTAAATGATTTAAATGATTTATTCAAGTAAATAGACTGTAGGTACTAAAAAGTCGCAAATTAACGAGGTTAGGCAATTGAGTAAATAATTTCATTTAATTTCATCTGATACACTGTTCCTTTAACAGCAGCTAAAACCTGAGTTTTTTGGTACTCCAAGGTTTTGACTTCTGTCAAGATCCCTCTGAAAACGGAACGGCAGTTGTTGAAGTTGTCGGATTCTAGGACAACCCCCCCCCCCCGGACTATTCCCCCCCGGACAATTCTCCCCGGAGAATTGTTCTGATACCTGTCATACCATGTTGTTGTTCCTCTGTGTTATTAACAAGGTATATATCCAGTTTTCAAAATAGATGTCACATAAAAAACACATCCGGCTGGATATTGGAAATTGGAGTACAAACAATGCTGATCTTAGCTGTTTTGTACAATAACTATTTAACAGTTTTAATTTTTTAAAGAAATTTTAACAGATTTAATTTTCAAGATGACAATATATCCTACCTGCTGCTCAAGATATTCTGTTATATTTTCCTTTTGTTTTTCATCTGTTTTATTGAATTCTGTCGAAGTCGAATTCAGTATAAAGGAAAGATGCAAACCTTTCGTGAGATTTTTTATTTCCTCTGATTCTAAAAATAGACACATATATACATTAAGGAATCTGATCGCGTATACTGGAGGAGGGCCAGAATCTACTACCTTGCAAAATAAGCGCCGAAAGGTGCGTCCCTCCTCTTCACTAAAAGCAAACAATAACACAAAATATAAAAAGAAAGAAGTAAATAATTGATAATGAACAGACAAAAACAATCGCCAGCCCAAGGTAAATAAATAAATAAACAAGGCAGCAAAGTCACCACCCAATGCCGTTTCACCCCTAAATTTTCATTCTATGATGATTTAGTTTATTTTTTATTTTTGATTATTGATTATTGATTGATTAATGATCCGAATCACCACCAAAAACTAATCATCTGTTCCTTGGCCCACTTCTGACAGTTCCTGAAAATTACATCAAAATCTATCCATAACTTAGTTTTTTTATTTTTGATTATTGAATAATTATTGATCCTGATCACCACCAAAAACTAATCATCTGTTCCTTGGCCCACTTCTGACAGTTCCTGAAAATTTCATCAAAATCGGTCCATAACTTTTTCTGTAATGTTGCTAACAGACAGACAGACAGATAGACAGACGGACAAACTAACGAAACCAAAAACATTGGCGGAGGTAATTAACAGATAAATAAAGAAGCAACACACACACAAACACACACACACACACACACACACACACACATATAAAGCCTACCTTTGGTGAAGTTCTTTGAAGCATATATCTTTGGCGATGGCGAGGTGGGGCTTGGCTTAGAACTTGCTGATTCACTAGTTTTGCTTTCGTTTGATTTGTCCGATGTGGTGCGTGTCACTTTTGTTACTGATGACGAAGGAGTTGGCTGTTCTCCGGTAGAGGAAGCGCTTCCGTCTGTACTAGCACCTGTCGATAACGTTGGTTGAAGTGATGGTGGTTCTGTCGACTGGTCCTTTGGTCCTGTAGTCATCTTGCTTGAGACAGTCGTGCTGTCCTCTTGAGCACCTGCCGTGGTGGATGTTGTCACGGTCTTTGTTGGCGAGGTAGTCGGCACGGTGCTTGATTCAGAGGATTTTCCCTCCGAGGATTGAACTGCTGAATTGGTAGTAATTGGTAGATTGTTCGACTCAGTTGTGGTTTCCGTTGCTCTGTCTGACGTTGCTTTAATTGTTGGTGTGGTATTAGACCCCGTTCTAGAATCGGAGGTGGTTGCTGGATTTGCCGTAGACGATATTGATGTCGATTGGATTGTTGGTGGTTCCGTCGAGACGGGTGTGGTTGTGGTTGATGGTCCAGTCGAAGTGGATGTGGTTGTGGTTGGTGGTTCCGTCGAGGCGGACGTGGTTGTGGTTGGGGTAGTAACAGTGGTTGTGGTTGGTTTGGTTGTACTGTTTGGTTGCCCAGTAGAACCAGCAGTAGGGGAGGTTTGACTACCTCCTGCACTAGCTGTTGATGAACCCGTATGTGTACTAGTGGTTGATGCATTTAAAGTTGTATCAGCCACAGTTGTTGTAGCTGTAGGAGCCTTTGTAGACGTAGAATCTGATGCACTCTCTGTGGATGGCAAGGTCGACGTTGATGCATCTGTCGCAGTGATCGATGTATCGGTGACATCTGTCGATTCTTTTGACGTCGTCGAAACCGATGTACTTCCTGAGGTTGACGATGTCGCCGTAGGTCCATCCGTTACAGTAGTCGATATATCGGCGTTATCCGTGGTTGTGGGTACCGGTGGCGTGGTAGAAACCGCTGCACTTCCTGTAGATGACGATGTCGGCATTTGTGTATCAGTTGCAGGGGTCATTGTGTCGGTGTTCTGCGTGGTTGTTGATATGTTTAGCGTCGTAGAACCTGATGTAATTTCTGAGGATGACGATGTAGACGTATTGATAGGGGGCGATGTCTGACCAGTGACAGGTGATAAACACAAACTGCACGTTACGAGCATCATCAAAAGCAGCGAAGTGATCGTCATTTTGTAACCGTTGTTATGGATGTCCGCTTAGCAACGTGGTCTTTGATTATAATCAAAAAAAAAAAGATAAAGTAACTTATAAACGACCATTTAAATAGCCGAGAAAATTGGTTTAGGTTAAGAAAGACGGTTTTCACAATTTTTATTACCCAATTCATTGCCTCTTGTCTTTATAGCAGAACTCTTTTTAAATCAGTAAAGCTTTTTATTGTTATATTTCCTTTTTTCAAGAACCAGAGGATCAGTTAATCTAGCAATATTCTGTTTGAAACGGAGTACATTACTAGTTTTGCAAATATTTACTTAAAATGTTTATCTTAAATCATTGAATTTTATTCAGTTAAACAAATACTATACCAAACAGAACATAATGGAAAACTCCAATATATACATGTACCCTCAAGATCACCATTTTTAAAAAGTAAATACGACTTTTTCTTATTAGTTAGTAAAAAATCCATTGATTTTAAGGTAAATACACAATATAAATAAACCTTTTCATCTGCTTCTTTAAGTCACCTTTTGAGAACAACTGGACTTGGTTTTATTTCAACTACTAAAATATCTAAGTCAACGGCGAACCGCTGAAATTGAGCGCGTCACCTAAACCTACCTGTTGAATTGATGCCCGCCAAATCAGTAACGATAACTTAACTCTTCTTCATCCAACTTCTAAACCAATATACTCCAAGGCTAACATACAAATTGAAACGATTCAAAATAATCAATAAGAATGTCGCAACAAAATAAAGCTTGATGCCTTTTGAAAACGTTGTATCTCCAGAGAGAGTAAAATAACTGCCGGGGTCGCTTGAATATTTCAGTTGTGACTCCAGCACGTTTTATCGCAAGTTCCTGGTTGTTCTTTTCAGTAAATATAAGCCGACACGTTTGTGCAAACACACATTTTGATAAAAACTCAATAGATAGAACCCTCTTTCGTGGCTGCCCAACAACGTATTGCGAATTAATACACAACTGACATATTAAGCACCCCTGTGCAAACCTAAACTTATCGCGTATTATTTAGGTCTATGTGTAACACTTTAGATAAAACAACGTGTAACATAAATTAATGAGTCTTAGTCTGAGGAGAGTTTGGGCATGATTTATTGTATTTCTTTTGTAATTGCTTTAAGTGATTAATGGACACGTGGGGAGATTTATGAGGTAGTAGAAGGCGCGCTGTTGCGTTGGGAGAGAAAAATGAGTCTTGTGACAGCGCAACACATGCAATGCAATTTGGGACTCAAGGAACAAACAGAGTCCGAGATTCCCTTATTCAATGGCCCACCAAGGCGAAAATAAAGTATCTCCCCCCTCATCCCCAACAAACGCTCCACTAGCCCCCGTGATATTCGATTCTAAAATTGAAGCAATATGGCACGTCACTTGATTATTTCTCCTCCATTTTCTACTGACCTGGGTTCTATCCGAACACCTCTCACCAAAATGCTCACCTGATTTGCCAGAAAGTATTAATAGGTTACTTACTTTCCGCATAGAAGCCTCGGACTGAACTTTACTTTTTAAAATGAGACGCAAAAGCTCCCCATCCCGTGAGAGGGATTCGGGTTTGATGAAATAATTATGACAACCCCCCCCCCAAAAAAAAAAAAAAAAAAAAAACAAACTTTATATCGCCATTAAACTTGGTATAACGTGATCAGGCAGAGCAATGAAAGTTCATATGTCGAATGAATGAAGTACAGTGGGATTGTGTTAGAGAAGACAAGCAGCAGTTCTTCCCTTTCTACCAGTTACTGATATTTATTTTTGTCATTATAATTTTATTTTTAACTGTTACAGCTATATATGCGTTTTTGTACGTTACTTAAACATAAACTCATGATTAAAAATAAACACCTCAAAGTGTTTTATGTTGAACGTTTTTAACATTTTTTTTCTTTTATACGGCAGTTGCGGGGGATTATTATTACATCATTTTTGTGACGTAAAGTGACTTATACACTAAGACGGCTAAGCCCTCCTGAAGCCCTCCACCAAGCACTTGTGGTTGCATTGTATTACATTGTGTTTTACATCACTGAATGTATATAAAGAATTACAATATAGACGGCTAGAAATGCCGATGTGACAGGAATTGTGGTCAGCTTGAAACCGTAGACTGTTCCCCATTACTTTGTACAGGTGACAATACTCCGACTAACTCTTGACTGTACTAATCATATGGGACCCCGAACTTCCATTCTTAGGACTGCCATTCATGTCACACCTGTTTTATTTTATTTATTTTTTTTAATTTTATTTTTTATTATTATTTTTTTTAATCGTGCGTATTGCAGGTTTCATAAACAACAACAAATACAACTGAATTAGATGTAAATTTATTTTGATCATTACAACGTCTTATTTATCAAAAATGAATGTATCACAGTGGACGTTACACACAATGGTATCGAACAATAACAGGCGTTACTGCTTACAGTTATTCACACCCACTTGGCGTTAATACGTCATGAATGAAATTTATCTTTTCTCGCCGTTATGGCGTTGTCTGGTATAAACATTGGTACAACATACAAAATATATATAAAATAAATGCTGTCAGCTTTATTTTTTACTGTAATTGTATTTAGTCAAATAAACGTGCCACACCCATATATAAAATTGGTACCAACGTAACTCACGTAATACAGACCGGATACATTATTAATGACGTCATCAGAAGACCCACTCTGTTATGTACCTTTTCAGCAATACTCCGACTCTGTTTTCAATCTATTATAAACACCATGAGCATACAAGGTTACTACAATTTTCCCTCTACAATTAGCATGCCTATGCTAATAAATTTTACGAATACGAATACGATTTAACTTGCAAAACTTTCACAAGAAATCCCAGGGCACTCTTATACATAGCGGTAATTTTAATGACTTCATTGCAGTTTTTCAAACTTTTGTCTTTTGCTTATAAGGCCTGTAACACATTCAAAATTCTAAATTATACGTTGCAGTCGAGTCAGTGTTTACAACTGGGTGTTTTGAATCTACAGATAATGAAATGAACGGAATGGGGGAGGTATTTAAAAGGAATAATGATAGGTTTCCATGTCCAGAGTATTATTAAGAATCCATTTATCAACAGACACTTATAATAGGTCTGTTAAGCAACTTCCATCTCGTCTTTAAACTTTTCCGACGTCGTTTACTCAACATTTCCCCCTAAGCGAGAGGTACATTTTAATTATATATAAACACTTAAATACTGTGAAAGTAAAATCCTGTACGTAAATATTTGTTGTCCCGACCCGTGGGGGCAAACGTCTTTATCACCTAATGACGTCACATACGTTTGTTACGTCAAGTCGACCGCATCTTGATTTAAACAAAAAGGGTACTGCAGTCTTAAACAAATATTGACAGCTGCTTTGCTAACACATACTTTCATGACGCCTTAATCCACATTGGTCATGGATACGTCACATTTGATGGCGACTCAATCCACATTGGTCATGAAAACATCACATTTGATGACGACTTAATCCAAATTGTTCATGAATACGTCACATTTGATGGCGACTTTATCCACATTGGTCATGAATATGTCACATTTGATGGCGACTTAATCCACATTGGTCATAAATACGTCACATTCCTGAGGTAGTTTGAGCGCAAGACTTGAACTCTTGTGGTAGAATTCCGCACTTTTCTTGAACATCCCGCATAGAGTCTCATCTAAATAAAAATCCACGTATTTTTCCAAAAGGAAGTGAATAGATGAACAATTAAAAAAATGATTCGACTAACAAGTTTCATCTTTCTGCTGTAAGGTAAACACGGGGATCATGTTTATAACACTCCCAAATTTGAAAAGGACTCATGTGCGGACAAGTTGCGGTCCATATCTTTTTGGTGTGAACACAGCAGCTCATTCATGGATGGCATCCAGCGTGCGTGCTTCCCTAATCACTTCATCGAAATACCTCCCGACGTCGATCGACGTTGGAGAAGGACCTCTTGCTCCTCGGGGTCCCCCTCTTCGCAGTGAGGCTTTAAGGGAAGATCCTTGGACAAAGAACTACCGCTTTCGTTCCCGGAGTCTCGGTGAAGCTTCTTTGGCAGAGATTCGATGACGGCAGTGCAGTTGTTATTGGGTAATAATACTGTAGACTGATCCTTCCCAATGGAATCCGACAATTGTGAGTCCGAGTCAGCCCGTGAATTGCTTCTCCCAACAGTGACGTCATTTTCCGTGGTAGTGAAGTCATTTTCGATAAAATCGACGTCAAGCGTGACGTCAGCAACTCCATTGCTTTTGCCAAGAACACCATTCGACTTTCGTATTGGCAGTTCTAAAAGCACATTATTGTCTTTAACTTTGCGCGTTTGTGACGGCCGGTCGCTTGGTATATTGTTCCTCCCGTTTATCGGAGGAGAATCTCGTTTGATCACATTATTTGAGTGTATGGAGTAGTCCGAATGTCTGTTTCTACTCAGGTAAGATATTAAGGTGTTAATGTTTTTGGAGGAGCGGCGATCGTCGCCGAACCTGGACAGTTTATATCTCTCCCATCGTTTACGTATTTCTGTTTTCACCTCGTTGTTGAGGAAACAGAACAGGAAAGCTATCACGGCTCCCTGGAAAACATATATTGGAAAAGTCTCAGAAATGTCAAGGTTAAATTAATGGTTTTCAAAAACAAAAGCTGAACCATGACTCCAATATCTCAGTCTCAACACAACAAGCGGGTAGGTGTGTGTGTGGATGTTTGTGTGTGTGTGTGTGTGTGTGTGTGTGCGCGTGCGCGCGCGTATGTGTAAGGGCTAGCGTGTGAGTGTGTGCATGTGCGTGCGTGCCAATGTGCGAGTGCGTGCACGTGCACGCGTGTGTGTGTGTGCATTCTTAAAATCCTGCATTACTTACAGAGAATGATGTAAAGAACATTTCTAGGTAGAGGTAGGCCACCTCGACTTTCTCGTCCAGCTGTCCGTAGAGCAGGGTGAAGGTGATGAAGAGAAGATAGTAGACGCCAAATAGGGGCATAAGAACTAGGGTGGATTTGGCCAGTCTTCTGTAAATAGGAAGCGGAATAAGAATCAAATATGAGGTAATCATATGGTATCTTTTGAAATTGGAATAAAAAGGTACTCGTTCGGTTTCTATGTAAGGGTACAAAAAATTACTCGAGTGGTGATGCCTTGTAAACAATGGCGTAAGACCAAATTCATTTTAAGGTTTCTTTTTCATTTTAACAAGTGAAGTTAAGCGGAGAAAGCAGCTCAATTTCCGGATACGTGTGATTTATACATTCTTAAATCATTTTTATTTTACTATATTTATTTATTTGTCGGGATGTGGCAAAATACAAAATCTACAGAGCGAAAGAATTTTGAGCACGGAGATTTTTTCTTAAGTCGATTGCTAGAATTTCCCACATATCAAACCTATCTCCAATGCATTTTCCACAGACAAGAGACAATGAACACTGTTAAGGTTTTATGCAATTCTACTTTTCCCATTTAGACCACCTCTCAGATTAAAATAAAATCAAGCTGATTGAAAAGAGACGTACACCCCAGGTCTGAGAGTTGGTATATTTCTCTATTTATACATACGCGTATTACACAGCGCATGCGCTATTTGCCAAGTTAATAAAGCGCTGTATATGATAAAATCTACTGGTTAAAAAAGTGTGGAGGGGGGATATAACGTTCGTAATGCCAAGCACATTTTGCGTGCAGCAGGTCACACAGGTTTCTAAAAAGCTCATTGCGCTCATTCAGACTGTGTATAGTACTTGTATATTTAATGCAACTTATGCTATATCTGATCACATGCAAAGAGCGTGCACTCTTGCCTACCTAGCACTGTGCCGGTTTGTCTACGTGTGAGGTCATACTCTGCTCCATACTTACCACAAATAAAACCCTAAATCAATCTAAGTGAAAAAAAAATAAAAAAGGGCAACTGGGAAAAACTAAATGCAGAAAAACGCTGTGTGGTTTGCTGGATGTCTTGTACCTCTTTTTCAACGCAAGGAAAGGAATCAAAACGCAGTTTTCATTTGAACTTTTGGTAGTTGATCATTTTAATAAAATGTTTTATTGATAAGATGTGGCAGTACTTGCTGTTTTCACTTGGCCGGCCATTAGGTTTTATTTGTGGCAGCTGTGGAGCAGAGTGCAAAGTGGGGTGTTACACTGATGAAAATGCTTCCTATTATTTAGCCTCTGATCACAATGTAGCTGATACACGGACCAAGAAGTTGTTTCTTTACAGCTTCTTGCGCGGACAAACTGAGCAGATCAAAATATCGCCCGATCCACTTGAAATGACGCGGAAAGCTTTCAAGTGCACGCCATGTATGATCCGCGGCTCAGTTAGTCCTTGGATCAACTCGGCTGTGAACAGAGCCTTGCTCTGAGTCTGTGGGTATTATCAGCTACAAGCTCACCCCTTACCTGGAGCTTTGCACATATATTCACCATCGCATCATTGCCTTCAAGTTCCAAAGACTCTTTAACCCCTATTACAGCTGTAACTTTCCTACCCCAAGAATTAGATCTGATACATGCCAACGTCTTCATTTCTAAAAAACTTCTTGACATTAAATATCCATTTTAATATTAATGAGGCACTTCACATGTGAAAAATGAGATTAATGAAGTCGATCTTTCTCAAAGTTGACACGTGGAAGCAACCAAGATAAATGCATGACATTTGAATAAAATCATCATGGCGTGTGAAGAAATCAAATTTGGAATTATAAAGAAGAGACTTTGTTCAGAGGCTCGACAGCTCCATTCCGGATGCATTGACGGCAACCCTCCT